AACACTGCTTCTGAATACAAATATGTGAGCTCGGCAACTACGCCGACCGTGAAGCAAAATTCAGTAGAAACTACAGTGGCTGTTACTCTAAAAGATTCCACCTTAAATAAATTGGAAAAATTAAAATATTTTAATAGCACTGAATACATCGAATTGATTAATATGGAATCGGCTGCTATAGCATTTTTATGTGGCTATCTTATAAAGAAAGCAAATCAATTTGTAAGCTGCAATTTATGTTTTTCAACATTACAAGATCTTAATCCCCAAGTAWACTGCCCGTTATTGGAATTAATATACCACCAAGATCGTGGAAGATTAATCTACCCAAACAAAAAATTTGTGAGTTTAATAGTGTTTGTTGTAGAAATTATTATTGAACTATTACCAAGTCTGCCAACTGAAGATGTGTCGTTTAATTTAAGGAACATTTTATTATCCTATCTGTACGGCAATCCAATTTTTTGTTGCGAATCCCATTCTAAAATTTTGTGTACCATAATTTTAGATAAGCTTATAACACCAATTGTTTCTAACTTTTGTAGCAGACATGCTCATACAATTGTGAAAAACTTAAATATTCAAACAAAAAAAAGAAAACTCTTAAAATTAAATTGATAACACTAAGAAAGTTGCTTTATTATAAATAAAAGTTAATTTATAGGTTTATTTTATCGAATGGTAAGTGCTTACTGGGATCCTTACTTTTGTTCATCATTAATTTTTAATTTAAACCTGGTCAAGATTTTTTTTTTTTTTGAAATTTCAAACTGAATCAGGCAACCAACCATGCACCGTATGTCAGCGCCATCAAACGTCAAAATTATTGCCACGCGCGAGGCCGGATAGACGAAAGTCTATCTTTTTATSAAGGAGGCCGTGCTTTAAACACTTATTAAAATAGAACACGTATGGAGTTTGTACACAAAAATACAAATTAAGAACTGGTGACATTTATTAGAATACATTCACATAAAAAAATGGAACTTGTCGAATATTGAAACTTAAATAATCTAAATGGGTAATAAAATTACCCAACATCCAAATTAAAGAAAAACCCAAGTGAATACACCTTATACCACGATTTGCGCAATCATCGCCCTTCAACTGAAACAAGAAAAACAATTAGTAAAAGTCAAAAAAAAAAAATTCTCCTTTCTTACTGTATGTGCTGAGATCAATTTCGTCCGGTAATTCCGTAATATTAACATCAAATCTGTCTTGCACTTCATTTAAAATTTTCGCATCGCTTTCTTCTGATACAAAAGTAACAGCAAGACCTTTAGTACCAAAACGACCAGCTCTTGCCACACGATGTAAATAAGTGTCAGAATCTTCAGGCATGTCGTAGTTAAATACGATGTTTACTCGTTCAATGTCCATGCCTCTACCAAACAAATTCGTGGCAACCAAAATTCTCTATGAAATTGTTTTATCATTTTGTAAATTTTACAAGATTCTGAATTCCTACCTTTTGGAAATCTTTAAATTGTTGGTAACGCGAAAGACGTTCTTCTTGATTCATACCTCTGTGAATACCAATGGCAGGGAAATTCTGTTCAGTCAATAGTTGTGCCAATGCGATACATCGCTGAACTGATTTGACAAAAATCACAACCTGAAACAACACTCCAAATCAGGGTTTCTGATACGTAGCCGTTTTTCATTGTTATTTAATTCTTTTTTCAGTGAGAGAGTTCAATGAAACGTAATCACAAATTCATTAATAAAATTGTCATCATAACAAATTAGACCATAACAAATTTATGTATGCATAATACAAACCTGATTAAATTCCAAAACATCAAGCAGCTCAAACAATTTTTTGTTTTTCTCGTTTTCTTTGAGTTTAACGTAATGCTGTTGAAGCCCGTGCAGAGTTAATTTCGCCTCATCGTCCACATAAACTTCCATGGGCTAAACATAAAAGCCAATTATACATGAGCCAGCTTTAGAATTAAAAACAGTTTTGTTCAGAATTAAATCAGACATTTCTAACCATCATAACTATCGCTCTGGTGGAAACCGCGAAGGAATAAGACAAAAATCATCATAAAACTGTTTTTAATCTAAAAGGCTTGAAAAAACTTTGCCAAAATTTCAGAAAACGAAAAATTGTAAATAAAAAATTAATTTCATTTACAATTCAAGTGATCAAAAATACTGTAGTTACGAAGGCGTCAGTGAATCCATCGAACATACAGTGAAAAGTCGCATCCCAATGTCGCATTCCACTTCAAATCAAACGGAAAACCAGTAAACCCCCAAGGTTGCAATCCCCGTAAATAGGAAAATCGTTGATTTGAATTTTGTTGCACTGTAGCACGGCCGAAATGTACATCAAGAAATCACCCCCAAAAAATAAATCTTCAGACTTCCTCTTGCTCCATCTTCTTCGCCCTGCCCAACCCCGACCTACACGTTGGGCTACAGTGCGCTAACTCAGAAAGGATGAGAGGAGAGGTTTTACTCAAAATCACGACACGGCATTTAACCCCCAATTTAAGTAACAGCAATGCGAGTGGGTGCGTTGATAAGTGAAGAATAACAAGTTTCAATTACATCTTGCATAAATTTCTTGCAGACGGGCCGAATTTCTTTACTTAGAGTGGCGCTGAACATCATTACTTGCTTGCCGTGCGGAGTATTGCGATAAATTTCTTGCACATCCCTCCTCATATCTGAAAAAAAAAACCAACTTAATAACCCAACTCTAAGCAAAAGTGTTTAAATTAAAACTAAAAAAAAAAATCAGGATAGGCCCATTTAACATCAAAGTTTCTCAGATGTCCCTACCTATTGGAGTCATCATTTAAATTAAGTAWTTACGTACCAAATTTGTGTAAATAAAATTAAAAGTAGTTCAAACGAAATAAACTATTACCATGTTAGAGCACGCATGCGCATGGTGGTGACGCTATCTGCCGCCATTTTCTGTTAAAAACAATTCAAATCCAAATCAATTACCTAATAACTCTAGCATCTTGTCACACTCGTCGAGAATGAAATGTTTGAGATGCTTGAGATTGAGTTTCTTTGATCGGACCAAAGCGAGGATACGTCCTGGCGTCCCAACGACGATATGGGGGCAATTATTCTTCAACACTTCCTCATCTTTTTGTATAGACAAGCCACCGAAAAACACGCCGACTTTGATGTTTGGCATGTATTTACTGAACCTCTCGTACTCTTTGCTAATTTGGAAAGCCAATTCGCGCGTGTGACACATGACGAGTACGTAAACGACGTTTTCTGTTGGTTCCAACTGCTGAAGCGTCGCTAAGACAAATACAGCAGTCTTTCCCATACCGGACTTGGCTTGGCACAAGATGTCCATACCAAGAACTGCCTGGGGTATGCATTCGTGTTGCACTGTAAATCAACTTGTTAAACATGTTTTGTGGTTTTTTGGGGATGTTTCACCTTCTGACGGGTGCTCAAAACCACAATCAACAATGGCGCGCAATATCTCAGGTTTCAAAAGAAAATCTCTAAAACCTGAACTGTGGATGGATACGTAAGTACCCTTGATGCCTTTCTTCTGGTCACCGGCTCCTACAGTTTCGGCAACGGTTTGTTCTGGATTTTCCTCATCTTCATAATCCAAAAGATCATCGGCATCGGCCATTGTTGCGGCTTTTTAATAACCGGAAAAAAAACGAGTTTACACGAAAATAAGCACAAAAACACTGAATTCAAAGCGTTTTCAATCAAATTTTGCAAAAATTTTACTTGAAAAAACTGAGATGACTGTTATTTTGACTGGTTTCTTAGCGACCACACGAAAACAAGACTAATCGGTTATATGACGCCAACGCGAATAATGGCCGCCGGATGTGATGGGTTTGTGACGTGCAGCACATGCGCAAAAAAGTTTTATAAAAGCGCGCCCAATTTGAAATACATTATCGACTCTCCCAACGAAAACTATAACTCATAAAAATTGGTTTTGAGTTACGATGGCTTATGTAGATCCTAATTATTTTTTTTGAATAACCAATATTATTATCAAAACTTAGACCCTCAGCAATTTACAATAATTTTAAACAGTTCCTCGATTTTTTATTAACAATCAAAGATTCAATGCAATTTTTCTCAAAACTGTAAATTTTCAGTTAATTAGTTTTCGATGGTAGAGTCGATATGTACTAATCCACTTTTATACGTCAACAATTTCCAAAAATAATTTTGGCGGTAAATCATTGTAGTATGGTAGTTTGTTTGGTTGAAGTTAATAAAATATTATAACAATAGTAGAGTGGATAATAAAACAATCAAACGTCCAAAAAGATTAACTTCTATAGTATAAATAATATTTTAGAAAAGTGCAGCAAAGCTGGTCCATTGTCGTCAAAGACGAACAAAGACTGTAAAAGTAAAATCACCGTGTGCTGCACGTTTGATATTTATTAGACAGACATGTCGTCGCGATACGTGTTACCAACCACACGAAATTTCCCTAAATATTCAACTTTTGTAACAAAATAACGGATTATGTAACGAAATAAAATAAAGACTTTTACATTAATTTATTTTTTAATTACAATATCTACAAAATATTCCAACTAATTTAATGGCCGTGGTCCAAGTAAAACCTCAAGCCACAATAACCACAAGAATGATTTCCAGGCTTATCCTAGAACAAAAACTTTGTACTTAAAAAAACTACAAATCACAATAAATTTAACGTACAAGGTTAATATAGACTTTGGGATGTCCCGTTGGGCCACCACCTCCATCACACCATACAACTCGCTCTTTGCAAGGTTTTGGGGGCACCTCAGCTATCAAGTTAATGGCAAAATTAGGGTTAACATGCTTGGGCCTACCCACAAATCTTGACAATCGATAATCATCAGGCTCCCATTTCTAAAAATTCGTAAAAAAATCTAAAAGGAGGCTATCAAAAGAAACCTAACCTGTCCGGTATGAGTCACTTTTTCCTCTGGAACCCAATCAGAACCCTTCCTTACACTTGCAGCAATATTTGTAACAAAATATTTCGGTTGAAGTTTAATGAAAGTTGCAATATTTTTTGCTAAAATTTTAGACATTTTTACATCGATTGACAGTTAACTGCCAACTCAACGAACAAAAAACTTCACCCAGTCAGTCCAGTCACTCAATAAATAGCTCGTTAACAAAATGTTATTAGAAAATTGCACGTAAATATTGCTGTTTTTAATGAAATTGGATTGTTACTGTTTTTGTGTAACTATTATTTAGTAATACTAGCTTAGTAATAATGAAAATAATAAATTAGTTTGGCTCGGAATGGTAATTTTTATTCTGGTGATGTGGCGACCCTGTGTGTGAAAATGTGAGTCGTGTTTCAATTTTTATGGTAAAAATGATCAAAAATACCGGATTTTTGTTTGGGATGTTCTATATTTTTTTATGTACTTTCATAAATTGTTATGAAATAGATCCTCTTGGTTACATTTTATATTGTCCTTGCATGGGTAGGAACTAATTTTAAGTTATTTCAAACAACTAAACCAACCCCCTTCCAGGCAGGTTTGGGAATCAAGCCGATCACTTTTTGGGATCTCTTGGCTTCGCCCACGGCTTAAATCGGACTTTAGTACTACCCCCATGGGTTGAGTACCGCTATGGACAACCCAGATCCATTCAAGTTCCTTTTAACAAATATTTCAAAGTAGGGCCTTTAAGAAAGTATCACAAAGTCATAACAATGGAGGAATTTATGAAAGATATCGCCCCTTACGAGTGGCCTCCTGAAAAACGCATTTCTTTTTGTTATATGAGCAGAGGTTTTACCATCTTAACAACTTTTCATTTCTAAATAATTAAAATAAAATATTTCAGGTAGCTCAGACGACTGTAATGCGAAAGAAGGCAACCCTTTTGGCCCCTTCTGGGACACCTTCAACGTCAATTTTGTCGGCTCGGAATTCTACAACCCCCTACATTACGACACCTACCACCATAACATGGCGAAACAGTGGCACGAGAGATACCCCCCGGCCAAATGGCCCATCCTCGCTTTTACCGGCGCCCCTGCTAGCTTTCCTATACAGTTAGAAAACCGTCCCCTCCACAAATACCTTGAATGGTCCGACGCAATTTCCCAAAAAGCCGACACTTTCATCGCAAACACCCTCCCAAAAGGCGCTTTCATCGCAATCCACTTACGCAATGGCATCGACTGGGTCCGCGCTTGCGAGCATATTCCTGACAGCCCCAACTTGTTTGCAGCTCCTCAATGTCTCGGCTATCGCAATGAGAAGGGCAAAGCCACCCCAGAAATGTGCCTTCCGTCCAAACACACCATCATCAAACAACTGAAACGCGTCATAAAACAAGCAAGCATCGAAAACCCTATCAAAGCCGTGTTTGTCTCTTCTGACAGTAATCACATGATTGAGGAGTTGAACGATGCGCTGAAAAGGGCCAAAATCTGGGCTTTCAAAACGGACTCCAATGATCCCCATCTAGATCTAGCCATCATGGGGCGCGCGAATTTTTTCATCGGGAATTGTATTTCGTCATTCAGCGCTTTTGTGAAACGAGAAAGGGACGCAAAAGGGTTTCCATCGAGCTTTTGGGCTTTTCCACCAGAGAAAAATTCGGCGGGAAAGAAGGAAACCCATGTCAAAGACGAACTATGATTTAGTAGGCAAATCAAAAAATTTTTATTCCGTAGTTTTACTTAACACTAAAGAACGATTTTTGCAAACCATGTCAGTGACTATGTGATAATCCTGTAGGTTAGTTGCATTTACATGACAAAACTTTCGAACTGTTTAAAGCGATTTCCTTTTTTTATTTATTTATTAACAAATTTGCACCTTATTTTAAGAAATCTCCTTTATAAATCATTAGCAAGAAAGATAAGATATTTCTAATTTAAGTAAAATAACAAGAAATTATTTGTAACTATTTTTATTTTAATTTTGTATTTAATAGCAGTTAAGATGCCTCAGATGTGTTTTTTGACAGCCAATTTTTTAATTAGCAATTAGTGTATAAAATATGTGAAATATTTAACTACTATATGGGCCTCTTCAGCACATTTTAAGGAAAAACACCCTGATTTTCAAGGCTAAACAGAAAAGCGTAAAATATCGTGAAAACACCCCCGATTTTAAGGTATATTTAAAAAATTAACATTTTTAAGGAAAAGCACCCCGAGTTTCAAGAGTAAACAGAAAAGCGTAAAATATCGTGAAAACACCCCGATTTTAAAGGTATATTTTAAAATTAACATTTTTCAAAGATTTTACCCTGTTTTGAATTTTGTACTAGTAGGCCCCTTCAGCACACAGCTACTTTTTAAGGAAAAACACCCTGATTTAAATATTTACAAAATTATTAATTAATTCATTACAAAAAGTAAATATATTTTATTTTATTTTAGGTTTCCCTTGGAGGACTTGGGGTCCATTCTCTAGATCTGTAACAAGAAAATTGTAAAAATTAAAACTATCGTTTAATTTTACTTACATTTCTTGTTGGAATCTGATCTTCTCTTCAATGGAATCAAATCGAATGTTTAATACCAATACTCCATGAAGAATTAATGTAATCTCTCTTTCTCCGCGGTCGATATAATCTTGTCGCCGTACAACAGAGGGAAACGTCATGTTAGTAACTGATACTGTATCCTCCCCTGTTATCAGTGTTGTTTCCAAGGGAGGTATATTATTGCTAAATATTGTTATATTAAATATCATTCTTCTTTGCTTTTTCAACCTCATCTGGAATGTTTTTAGTTCTTCAAGGAGGCTTGTTTTTACACCGTATCGTGTTTTTTCCATTTTTTGTAATATCTGATAAAGAAATACAGAGTTTATCAGAGGAATAAAGGAGTTTACCTACATATGAAGAAAAAATTACAGATTCAGTAATCAACTAAATATCAGTGTTTCGATAAATATTTTATCTAGTGGTATTACTTACCCTTAAGACTCGGTCAAATTGATGAAATAAATTACAGAATCAAAACAGGATAACCGTAGAAAACATAAACACAAAACGACTCAAAATTTAGGCTTTAGAGTTGTTGACAGTCAGTCAGTGTTACCAACTCACCAAAACTTAGTTATCGGAGTGGCTGAATGAAATTATCGAATTTTCGATGATACACAAATACGATATTTTGATAGAAAGCGGTCAGATGTGCTGCAGTGCTGCCAACATGAATAGTGCGCTTGCGTTAGGAAAAAGTTTCCAACAATTCCAACTCTTTTGACTTTTTTAAAAGTCAAGTTGGTTTATAAAGGACAGTTTTACTTAACTAAAAGTTAACCCAAAATTTGAATGTATAATACAAATTATCAAATATTACCTAAAAACTATGTGAAAAGTAAAATTATCGAAAAATGTGCATTATCGAACGGTTACTATCGATTATCGTTTTATAGTTGAAATTATCGAGAAATCTGATAATTATCAGGTATTGGCAACACTTTCGTTACCAAACCAACAAGTTAAAATCTAAAATGTAGGATCTGTAGGTATATAGTGTTGCAGTTGCATATGATGTGAATTTCACAAATAGCTATTATTCTGTGCTGTTTATTAGTACGACACTTGATTTAATTTGTTCTAATATTCCTTTAGTAGGACCTTTGATTATAGATCTTATATTTAATCTGAGAGTAGGACAATGAAAATTAAACATGTCCAGCAGAAATTCACTAGATCTAATAATTAAGTACAGACAAAACAAACAAATATGTCAATGTAAAAAAGTGTAAAAATTTTGGAGGTTCAGCTTATTCAATACCTACCACAAGTTAATAATCAATTTATAATAAAAGGATTAATATCCAAATGGTATTGTATCAAAATTTTTTAGAATAACTCTCTTGTCATAAACAAAACCAAATTCTTTTGTTTCTATTTTATTTAAAAGTTCTTTAGTTTTAGTATTTCTGGTAATTCGATTATATTGTGTACTGATTTTTTTGACTTTGTATTCTAAAATAGTATTTATACTATCGGAATTAATCTTTTTGGACGTTTCATAGTTTAACGTAAATCCTTTTATTTTACAAACAACTTTACCTGTAATAGTCTTATAACAATAACTTTTTGGGCCTGTTGATATCCAGTCTATTATCCATACACCTTTACCTAATTCGTCTGTCCAATCTCCCAATAGACAGCCTGTTTTAACAGTGTTTTTTCCATCATCTATATATACAATACTATCTGTATCATAATATGCTACGCTTTTTCCTAATTTATCTAACATTTCGTATAATCTTAGTCTTGCGTTTGCAGTTGTAAAGGCAGCTATAAATATATTGGTATTGAAATCATTTTCTATATAGCAATCTTTTAACTTATAATCAATTTGTAACATATTTTCATTTATATCGTTTGTGCGTATGTTATCAAGTTTCTCGTCTAATAAAATTTCATAAAACCTTTTAACATCTGTAACATATTCTGTTGCGCCCATATTTTGTCTTTGTCCAAATTTACCCCATAAGGAATTTAAGCATATTTTCGCAACAGCCCTCTTTCCAGAATTATTTTCTATTTTACCCAATTCAATACCTAGAATTTCTTTTACGGTTTTTCTATATTCTTCTTCTGATTCAAAATCATCCAGCCAAGGACTTGTTTCTAATTTAATTTTCATAAACGCTTTCACATATCCTTTAAATAAATTTGATGATTTTTCGTAAAAATGCCAAACCTCATCAATAGTTATTATTTTGTAGCCCTTTTCAACTGCTTTTTTTACTTCGTTGGTACACCAGGTTCCTCGGATAATTCTTTGAGATTCCGTATGAGAACATTTATCTTTTTGATTGTTTAATTTTGCGCACAATTGACATAATGGAAATGTTAGTTTTTCATCACCAGATTTGGTTTTATTCTAAACGGGGTGATACAAACCTTTTGGTGGTAAAATTGCACATTTTATTAAACCATACCAATCTGAATTATACGTACGAGGTTTGAATATTTTAGTAGGATGTCCAACTGGATAATCATCGTAACATTGTACTGTTGGATATAAACTGCAAATATCTATATATTTCAATTTCTTTGCCTTAACGCGCAATTTTGTTGCATTCGTTCTTCCACCAAAGAATGCGTTTCTAGGATTAAGTTCTTCCAATTCCTTAATTTCTTCTTCAATTTGTTTCATTTCTTTCTTATATTCTTTTGACTTTGTCCACTCACATTCCCACATTTCTATTAARTTATAACCAGCTTTTTTTATTTGCTCAYTTCTTTCTATTGTTTTCTCATAAAGATCTTCCATAGTTGTTTTATTCTTATTAWTAATAAAATCTGAACTATAACATTTTGTACAACCGTGCCAAAAACAACCGTGATATTGGTAAACAGTATTGGATTTTTCATCAAACCCGTCAACTTTTGATCCACATATTTTCACTTCACCATTGTTCAATGCGTGTTTTATATTTGGATTATGAAAACTATTTAACCATGAAATACATTGTTGAGAATATTGATCTTTTTTCAGATTATCAACAACAGCTATTGTATCTTTCTTAATATATTTTGATCTATATGTAGCCATACAAACACCAGCAATAGTAATATATCTAAAAAAAAGAAGGGTCTAGAAACTGCTTTCTTAATTCAAGACATCCTCTTCTTAATATATCAACATCAGAATTACAATAATCATAAAGTTCTTTTTTAAAATCAAACAAATAATTTTCTTTTCTTTTTTGTTTATGCCATTCTAAAAAGTGATTGCAGCAACCATCTAAGGCATTGCATGCCTTAGAGTTCGCCTTTGGCTTACTGTTACCATAACATTTTTTACATTCTGTCATAGAATTAACACCATAGTATTTTGTATCAGGTATTTTTCCAATATAGCTCTGATTTTCCGTTGTATTGAAGAAATGTGGAAAATATCCTTTTTTAAGTTCTTTTTTAGACCGAATGTTGTGGGGAAGTTTTTTAAAGGTCCTTGCACAAAATTACTACTATCAATAATTCTTAAATTAATTGATTTTATTTCCATTAACATTATTTTAGATCCATTATATACGCAGAAAGATTTAATACCGTTTTCAACGCAATATTTTAGAATTAAGTAGGAATCATAACCTTTAGAATAATGTGCAATAGCTGTGTGTCCTCGATGATCTCTAGAAATTAACCATTTACAGAAATCTTCGTTACTCTTAAAAGAATTAACATTTCCGCTAAAATCGTGAGATATAACTAAATTAGAGATGTGTTTGCCTGTTTCTTGCATCGCTTCATAATCAAAGAATAAATATTTTTTTGTATAGGTACAATGATTTGTATGCCTTGTAGAACCACAGTTAACACATTTAAACGGTTTCGTATCATTCAGTGGTTTTTTATTACAATTTTTGCAACCACAGCATTGATAAACCCAGTAGTTTTTGTTTTCAATTTTTTCCTTAGAGTATATTATAGTACAACCTTTTTCGTTACAATTTTTACAACCTTTTACTGTGTATTCCTTGTCATTTTCTTTTATTTTTGTTTGGCAGATTCCACCTTTTTGTCGTTTCCATTGCATATAACATTTATGTTTTAATATTTCAACTTCTTTACAACAATTTCGACATTTTTCCCATCCACATCTGTGTTCGTTACAACCCTCTTCTATCATTTTGTTACCTTTTTTAATGATTTGATTACCCTTCTTGAAATCAGGGTGTTTTTCCTTAAAAAGTGCTGTGTGCTGAAGGGGCCTACTAGTACAAAATTCAAAACAGGGTAAAATCTTTGAAAAATGTTAATTTTAAAATATACCTTTAAAATCGGGGTGTTTTCACAATATTTTACGCTTTTCTGTTTACTCTTGAAAATCGGGGTGCTTTTCCTTAAAAATGTTAATTTTTTAAATATACCTTAAAATCGGGGGTGTTTTCACGATATTTTACGCTTTTCTGTTTAGCCTTGAAAATCAGGGTGTTTTTCCTTAAAAAGTGCTGTATGCTGAAGGGGTCCATATAGTAGTTATTTAATGATTTGGCCTTGATTGATTCATCGTTCACGTGAGCCAGTGTAATTCTCATTATGAAATAATTTGTTGTGCAGGGTGTCTCCGAACCTGAGACAGCTTATTTTTGCAAATAAATCGTAACTATTGTTTTTGTTTGGTTTATGAATGATCCCAAAATGGCAATTTTATCGCCTCGCACAAAGAACTCGTCGATGCTTGCGTACGCAAGCTGTATTTTTTGTGACGTCTCGACTTCCGGTTTTCGGTCTCCGTAAAGCGTGCGCGTGTAAAGGTTAAATAGAATGGAAAACACGCAGATAATAGCCCCAATGCGTGTTGTTGCTATCGCCCACGGATGCTCGGAGCAGCCGAACAAGCGACGGTCGTTCTCGGCAAGGCCGTGCGCTGATTGGCGAACGACACGTTGAAAGTAGGTTGTGACGTCACTGGGCGACTTTATAAGTATATGTGAACGCGCCATCCTCTGCATTTCAGTAAAAAGCGACGGTGTGAGAGTGAGTGTCGACAAAATGGCGAGCGAAGCGCAGAGATTAATCGGAATTTCCTTGACGAAGATCGCACAATCGCGCTCGCACCGAGGGGGCGTCAGCCTGCACAAGAACCTCCTGGTGGCCACCGTCCTCCAGAAAGCACGCTATATCTTTATGGAGGAGGCCTACAACATGGTGCACTACCAGCCGCCCGCGCCCGTACAAGCCCGGCCGGTGCCCGCCGAGGAGTTGGTGGGGCTCACCGCCGAGGACGCAGGTCTGCCCGATGACGTGCAAGAGGCCGCAGGAGACTTCCAGGATTTCCTGCAGCCGAGTTGTGTGAAGTGTGCCGAGAACCAAAACAAGGAGAATTTGCCGCCCTCCGAGTTGACGTATTTGGACCTAGACAAGGGGCCTAGTGTGCTCAAAGAGCGCGGGAATTGCCTGAAGCGCCGGAGAGCCGTCGCCGAGTGGGAGACCGAGGAGGCCGTGCAGTCGATCCTCCCAAAGAGGAGTAAGAACGAAGAGGAGGAGGAGGAGAGTGATTCGGTGTTTGTGGATGAGGCGACGGCGCTGGCGGATAGCGTCACCAAGGAGGTAGAGGCGGAACGCGGCTCGGCTATGGAAATCGACCGGATTACCAGTCTCGTATCAATCTTCAGCTTCAGCATGGGGGACAGCAAACTCAACAGGTCGGTTTCGACGCCGGATTTGTGCTCAGCGCAAGCGAAGGATGCCGACAGTATACAACAGAGGCCCTTTCTCGCGATGACGGTCTAGACGGACCTGGGGATTTCCGGTTTTGATCTCGACAACGACGTCCGTGTTGTGTTTGTGATAAGGCGCGGAGAGAAATGCCAGATCTTGTGATAGAAGTGTATTTTTGTAAAGAGGGGGTCTCAAGGTTTGAGTCGACGGCGACATTCCATTTACCTGGGTGCCAGGTAGCTGTAAAGAGAAGAACCAGTTCAAAGCCCGACTGAAGCCAAAGGGACGCGGACTTGTACATAAAACTAAGAAAATTGGCGATACGGCTCTGTTTTAAGAGACCATGTAATTTTATTCTTGTACATAGACTTCATTATACCACTTATATATTTCAAAAATAAATTTTTAAATATACGCAACACTTGTTTTCTTCATTTTTATTTAACCCACGAATTTTATCACGTCGATAAGTTTATCTCTATCAGCAATTTGAATAACTGGATGGCGTGATTCGCCTTATCAGCAACGTGATAGGAACCTTCATTCCACCAAAGTTACATTCAAGTCTTCGTTCAGTAAAAAATAAAGCGTGGACCTTGAAACTTGCTTTATCGTACTGACGTCACTTCGGCGTAATTATCATGTCGCCACATGTTGCAATTGCAATTTTAACAAAAAAGAAAAAACACTTACGTCACGGAAAACAATTGTTAAAATTTGTTGTGACGTCAGGAGGTGTGTACAGTAAACAACCCAAAATGACGACTTTGGTCACCCATGACTCGTTGACGCCACTCTCCCCTACAAAGTGATTCAAAATGCATTAAAATTGCGTCAGGTTCTTATAATTAATTGCAACTCAAGAACTGACCTAACCCCACGTTTATTGTAAATTTTCTGCCTTATGAGTAATTTTAACTAATTAAATTACAAATCCACCTTTGGGTCATTTACAGTCAAGTAACTGTAAGTCAAACATTACTGGTTGAAGTAACAGTCATTAACTTCTTAATTTATCCAAATGATACGTTATCAAAACAATAAAATTGTTTCAAAACCGTATACCTACTCTTGAATTCCTTTAATATTCCATCCAGGATTTCGCCTCGGTGACTAACTAATTCTTATCATCCGCTATGACACACAATCCACGCCATATCTATTTTTGTAAAATCCTTATCAACTTATCAACATTACTAGGTCTAACCGATTTTCCCCTTCGATTCTAAAGGAAATGACCAGAGACTTGTACTTACTCATACAATACTTGATTGTAAAAATACGGTCCCAGTTATCAAGGTCATGTCTATAATTAGAAAGCGTAATTCGGGGCATCCCTATTTCTAAGTGGCGTCCCATTGTCAATTATTATCGTCGCAATTGTCTCGTAGAAACGTGTCTCGATCGAGTCGAGTGTGTACCTGTTGCACCATGAAGAAAGCAGAACGAGTCCGCGGCGGAGGTGTGCGGACCACCTATACCTTTAGTCGCCCGGTCGTTGACCACGATGGCCCGAACGCTGAACCGGGATTCGCCATCATCATGGCTGCTGTCATTCCGAAAGAATCTACAAGAGATGGGGATCCCGGATTGATGAGAGAGCTATTTTTAAACGTTTATTGGCTATTCACTTATGTATCTGTCAAAAGGTCAATAAGTGATAGATGTAGAAATAACTATTATGAGGAGGGATCGCTGATTTTATTATCCGTTACCTACATCTGTGAAAAGTTGGCTATGATAAGTTATCAGAGCTGTGTAACTATAAATACTTACATAAATCAACAAAAAAGTAACGAAAGAATTTTGCGTCATAGTTGATTTCAACTCAACTTAGACACTCAAAGTCGTTTATTAGTGTCCAAATATCATCGGCTGTACTAACATAATTACTAGATATTTACTTAAATAATAATTTTGCTGCTTATTTACTGCTTATTGACTTTATTATTACTTATTTCAAATGATACTTCTGATATGCTAGACTCGTATATACCTATACTACCTACATACCGTATGCTATTAAAGCACCCAAAACAGTGCTTTAAGAACATACTATAGAGAAAAGTTGTATTTTCTTCGACGTTGATTTCGTCATCTATTCGTTCCTATAGTAACTTTCCGTCATCCACAAGTTAAATATCGCCCCCTAATCGTTTCCCCTATGTTATTCATGAATCACAACCGAAGTGTCCATGTCATAGTGGATGAGTAAGCCCCGATTACCTAATGCGAGTTCATACATGTTGTCAGTGAGGAAACTAAACCTCGACAATTTTTCTTATCAGGGGAGTGATTAAGTCATGAAAGTAACCACAAAAGTGAGTTTGTTAAATCAATTTTCCAGATGTCTCTCAGGGGCGCTTTCGTGAAAAATCCTAATCAACAAATGGTATTTTTTTTGTTAAATGATTTTTAAGCGGAAATTAACTCGAGGGCGGTATCCGGTTTAGGCTTTTTATCACCAGTGCTATACCAGGGTTAAAATTAAAGGGAAAAGGGGTGGATAATGGGACTGGAGAGACACCCTCATTTATCTTTGGACGCATTTTTACCTCATCTGTTGTTTGTCACTTCTGTAAAATCAAGGTGCGATTCGAAATTCATCTCTCGAGTGCGGTAATCGATTGAATCGCGTGGAAATGCGCGATTTAATTTAAAAATTTTAATTTTCGTTTCCTCGTGCTCTACAAACCGCCAGGTCAAAACAATAACAGAAACACACAGTTCGTCAATACTTCACTTCCTCGTCGTATAATTGCGCTGACCCAAAATTCTATACAATAAAACCGTATTTAAACCGTAAATCTTCCAGCAGTCACGCACCAGTTCTGGCTTTTCCTCGACTTTTCCGAAAGTTTTTAACGGTCATCGGGAGGCCCAAAGACACCCAGACAGGTGCACCGGACCTACGAATACACCTGCATTGGGCAGGTGAAATGCGCATTCGAGACGCAAGGACGGAGGAGGGCGGACTCCTGCACCTGTGCGCCCATTTGGTTACGCTAGGCGCTACTTGGGGGCCGAGATTGGCGACGAAAAGCGGAAAAACCTCGCCGACGAAGCGGAATTTTTCCAATTTAAGGTCTCCGAGTTGTTGGAGTTTGGAGTCCACAATGTGGTGCTATTATTGGCCCCCGGGCCGGATGTCGGCGCCGGATATCCGAAAATAAAAAACAAAAGTGTAGACACGAGCGAAGCCCCCTTTTTAACCGACAAAACTCATGATTTTTATTAAGTTATTATTGCGGATTTTTCAAAATCAAATACTCTAGTTGAGGTTAGGGGTCCCGAAAGGCCGGTCCGGTTACATAATTTTCGTGCAGAAATGTGATATGCAACGACGTTTGCGCAACCTTCTAGCGTTAGCAAACTCTCTCTTCAGGTATGACGCCCACCTCCATTTTACAATCCGATTACATCATCATGGTCACTGACACAAAATCACAATTGTGATGGGATTTTATGCTTTGTAAATGGGAATTTTGGGATAAAGTCCTGACGTCTTGGGGGAATCCCCGAAATTTGAGCCGGAATTGGGAAAACGCAGCGAGATGGGACGTTTGTGACGGATTATGTAATAGTAAAAGTGATGAGGTAGATACCTGGTTTGAATTTTGGGCGAAATGGGCAATAATGGGGCGACATATGGTCGACAGACGGGAAAGAGGGTCCGATGGGTGCAATTTTTTTATTGAGAAGCGCAAAGGTTGCTCATATCAGGAGATAAAGTGATAAGAATAGGAAAATAACAATGAGTTGCGGAATTTTTGATGTTTATAAACAGTAAAAAATAATCAGAAAAAGGCCTCTGCACCAAAAAAAAAATTGTTACAAAAAATATTTTTGAAAAATTAAACTAAGTAGGTATATATTTCTGTGGTCAAATGGTCATAAAAATATACTTTCTGTATGATTATGTATTATAGTTGAACCTTATACATAGTGACATTTAGGAAAATAGTTGTTTATTCTACGAGTTTGAGTGTAAATCGATCGCATTATTTCACCGAGAGGATTTTTAAACCACGAGTGTACGAGTGGTTTATCAATTATCATCCACGAGGTGGAATAAAGCGTCCGATTTACACTCAAACGAGTTGAATACAACATTTTATTCTTCGAATTAGACTTTTAAACTCAACAAAGCTTAGATATGCTTTAAATCTGTTAAAAATAATCTGATGTTTTGTATTGAGAAATGCCAAACAGTTGTCAAAACTTCCTTACACGGGAGAAAAACCTTAAATTTTGACAGTGTCGAAGAAGAAAATACATAAAAAATCTAGCTCTTCCATTGCTAATCTCACTCATTATATTTATGTATGTATATTTACAATGCCATTTTATCTGTCTGTAATAGGTATTGTGCAATTGTTAGAAATAAACAAAGAATAATATTTTGTTTAAAAATAAAATCAATTTTGGCTAAAATACATCACAATTACAAAAAATACAAATATTTATATTTCAATCTTAATATGTGTACTAATTTTTAATTAGTCAGANAGATAAAAATCGTTATAGATTAGAATTCTCTGATTAAAAAAAAAAGTAAGCCAAAAATAATAAACGAATTATGTTTTATCTCTGAAAACTTATTTCTCTCTTACATTTTTTTTTTATTTTACAATTTTAAACAACTCTTATAATGGAATTACAGAACCCCATTTGGAGAAAAAATGACGATTCCTATCAATCAAACAAATCCAATGTCGTCACACGTTATTTCCACCCAACAATTTGTAAAATATAACCCGCAAACCAAAATAACGCTACTGTCAAAATATTGACCGTTTTGTTTAACACAAAGAAGCGAATTCATCGTTACATTACGTCGAATTCGTCACGAAATTCTCGTTATAATCGATGCTTCCAGGATCTAAACAAATCTATAAAAATCACTAAATTTGTAGCACATGTAAAATAATCTCTTCTCGAGCTTACTAATCGCAGAATTCTAACAATAGACCAAGGTGCACGGAAGGGTCAGACATTGAGGGTCCCATTGTGTGATTCAGTCATACCCCCATGATATGAAAGAATGAGTCACTGAGGAATTGTTACCCCCATCTTCCAGCAACCAGTTGCGTGAATTGAAAAAGCTGGATGGGTCGATATAAGGATTGTAAAAATAAAAGTGAGGTGCACGCTATTCTATCGATTAGAAGTCGAAATCTGCCCCGAATTGAGACGTAGTGAAAGGCTAATGTTATGCTGCACAGGTAGAAAGTCACGACGTTTAAAATACACAATTGAAGAAATTATTTGCGGGCAAAATCCAACTGGAGACGTGCCAGCGGATGCATGAATGAAAAATTATTATTTGCGCGGGAGTGTTTATAAACAAACGAAAATAATACGCTGAAAATAAAATATAACAATGAAACTCACTCACAGCTGAAATTTTATTA